ATATATATATACACATACATGTATGTATGTATATATATTTCCCCCAAATCTTTTTTAGTTGTAGATAGACATAATAACTTAATTTTATTTATTTTATGTGGTGCTGAGGATTGAACCCAGTGCCTTACACATGCTAGGCAAGGGCTTTACCATTGAGCTACAGCCCTAGCCCCTGGCTTATGATATTTTAACACATGTATACAGCATGCACTTATATAATTAGGGTTATTTTAGTATTTCCCTCTCCTTATCATTTCTTTATGTGTAAAGACTTCAAACTCATTTCTTCTAGATCATCATTAAATACATAATAGGTTATTGTGAACTATAGCCATCGCTCTGTGTGTGGAACATCGGAACTTATTCCTTGTATCTAACTGTGTTTTTGTACCTGCTGTCTAACTTTGTTTTATCCACCCTCTCCTCCACACTTCCCAGCGTCTACTAATAACTCTTTTATTTTTATCTTAGAACTAGTGATATAGAGTAGTGATCAGTGTTGGCTCACCATTACAGTATTAATTTTAATCAAAACTTGTTGTCAGAACATTTAAAACTCTTATTTTTGGTTATAAATGTACAGAAAAGTGAAAAATCTAAAAGGAATAGTAAAGAATTATAAAAATAAACTTTAAAGTTTGTGGGAAAAATTTAATGAGTTGTGTGACTAGTGTTTGTCTTCTGGTATAACTTACAATATGAAATATATTTCATAAGCCTTGATAAATTGTCATAACTCCTTTCTAAGTTTGGATAAGATTCTGTCATTTTGTCCTATATACTTCTAGTTTCTTTAAAACCTGTGAGAGTTTATGTCTTCCTTTAATGAGAACGAGTGATATTCCTTGTGTCACTTTTTCTGGGGACATCCTCAGTCTTTTTATCACCTTGTTGTCATAAGTTTGTTTTCACTAAGTTCTCTTGAGTCTTTAGAAAAGGTGCAGTGTTGATACATCAAAGTTATCTCTTTCTTCCATTTCTCCATTTATGTTTAATTAGAATTTTACTTCCAGTGTTACCAATTTTTGTTTCCTTCTCCGCACTTTTATCTTTCTCTGTTTGGATTATTCATTTTTGTAAAATGTCATGTAGGTTTATCAGTGGCACATGAGGCAACCAACTACTTGCTTTGCTATCTTAGCCTGAGTTCAGTAGCAGATGTACTGTAACCACTGTCTAAGCCTGACACAATTGAGAGAAATGATGTGATTGTTTTTTGATCATGATGCTCATCTATTATTTACCTATGATTTGTGAAGAACTAAAAGTTCATAATTTATGTAATTGTTCAGTTAATATAAATTGGCAATTGATATTTGAACCATAAGTGTGATATGTCATCATAGATTCTTTCACAGAATCAAATATAACAGATTCTTTCACAGCAACTAAGCAAAGTGAGAGCTTCCTGTACATTTGTATACATATGTTTTTGAGTGCATACATATTAAAATTTAAGTTATTAGCACTTCTGCTTATTCCTTTTTTTTCTTAGCTTTTTACTGAAGTATATATACTTATTGGAAAGTATATATAATTTAAGGATAGAGCACTATGAAATTTTTATACTAATCACATCTATTTAAGTAATTGGTCAGAAAATTGGTCAGGAAATAAAAGCTTAGCATCAGTTAAAAAATCTTCTTGTTACTAAATATTCTGTCTTAAAGAATAACTACTATTCTTATTTACTTACATCATAGATTTAGTTATGTTTATTTTGAATTCATAAATGGAATTACACAATATGTGCTCTTTTGTCTCTGGGCTAACCCACATTATGTTTATGAGATTTGTTGTGTAAGTTTCTATTGGGTATTATAACGTATTTATTCACATTAATGTTGATGAGTATTTGGTTAGTTTTTAGTTCTGGCTATTTTTATAGTGAAGCTACAATCATTGTAGTGCATGTTATTTGGTAAATATATGTATACATTGCTGTTGAGCTACTAAAAGTGAAATCACTAGGTCAAATGATTGCATATATCACCTTTAGTAGAGATTTCCAAACTGTGTTCTTAAGTGGTTGAACCACTTTACACTCTTACCAGCTCAATGTGGGACTTTCACTTTCACTTGTCAAATTATGACTTGTTGCCAGTTTTCATATAGGTATGAGCAGAATTTTTTTTTATACTTTAAATGGTTAAAAATAAATTTAATTCTGATTTATTTGAAAATTATATTAAACTGAATTTTGGGTATCCTTAAATAAAATTTTATTGGAGCATAGCCATGTTCCTCTGGTTCTTGTATTGTCCACAGCTGCTTTTGTGCTGTAATGACAGATTTGAGTAAATGTGACAAACGTATGGCTCAGAACTAAAATACGTTCTGTATGACTCCTCACAAAAAAAGTTTGCTGACTTTTGCTTTACAGGCTTGGCAACACGTAGTATTCTCTCTTTTTCATTTTAGCCTCTCTGGATGGATGTGTAGTTCTATCACATTGTGACTTTATTTGCAGTCCTCTGATGCCAAATGATGTTCTCTAGCTTTTGATGTAAACTTTATCTATTTTTATATATGACTTTTTGCTTATCAAGCCTTGTTTTGCCCTTTTATCTATGAATTCTTTCTTTCTTTTTAAAAATTTTTTTTAATTGTAGCTGGACACAATATCTTTATTTATTTTTATGTGGTGCTGAGGATCGAACCCAGTTCCTCACACGTGCAAATTTTCAGTTAAGAAAATTAGTTATTTAAAAATATTCTTCATTAAAGTTCCATTTTTCATTTTAGAAATTAAGGATGAAAATGAAACAATATTGAATCCTGAAGAAGTGGCTTCTTTGGAGGAGTATATTCCTACTCGACATACAAGTGTAACTCTTCTCAAATGTACCTGTACAATTTTCATGGCTGAGTTCAACTTGCTGGATTGTTTGCTTCCTGTCATTATAGGAGGAAAGGTATAATAGGAGTTTACTTTTTTCCCCTTGTGTATGTATATGTGTGATTATTAAATAAAATAATATCTGCTTATATCTTTATCTATGATGGAATAAAAGCAATGTAACTGTGATTGATAATTCTCAGAAAGTGATTTTATACCTGGCTGCAATGGGGCAGGCACTTCAGTGATCCCAGTGACTCAGGAGGCTGAGGCAGGAGGATAGCAAATTCCAGTGAAACTTAGCAACTTAGCAAGGCCCTAAGCAACTTAGTGAGATCATGTCTCAAATAAAGGGTGTGTGTGGGGGGGCTGAGGATGTGATTCTGTGGTTAAGCATCCCTTGGTTTAATCCCTGGTTAAAAAAAGGAAAGAGTAACTTATGGCAGAAGTGACTATGAGGCAGTAGTTTCATTTCGTATATTTGCTCTATATATTCTGCTAAATGAGTATTGCATTTGAAGAGAATTTCAATGGAGAAAATTAAAATGTCACTATTTCCTGTTATTTCAATTTTTATTATCTTCCAACTTTTGAAAAATAGACTTTATTTAAAAAAATTTTTTTTGTAGTTGTAGATGGACAGAATGCCTTTATTTGTTTTATTTTCATGTGGTGCTGAGGATCGAACCCAGTGCCTCACTCATGCTAGGCAAGCGTTCTGCCACCACTGAGCTCCAGCTCCAGCTGGCGACTTCAGTTTTTTTTTTTTTTTTAGAGAGAGAGAGAGAGAGAGAGAGAGAGAGAGAGAGAGAGAATTTTTTAAAAAAATATTTATTTGTCAGTTTTTGGTGGACACAACATCTTCTATTTTATGTGTTGCTGAGGATTGAACCCAGCGCCCTGCGCATGCCAGGCTAGCGCGTTACCATTTGAGCCACATCCCCAGCCCTAGACTTCATTTTTTAGAGTAGTTTAGGATCACATCAAAATTTAGTGGAAGGTACAGACATTTTCCATATACTTTCTGCCCATATATTTGGATGGCCTCCCTCATGATCAAAGTTCTCCACAGGAGTGGTAAATTTATTATAATTGTTGAACCTCTCTCGGAACATCATTATCACCCAAAGTCCCAAGTTGACATTAGGGTTTACTTTTGTTGTTTATGTTCTATGGGTTTTGATAACTACATAATGCATTTGTCTCCCCTAATGGTATCACATTGAGTAGTTTCACTAACCTAAAAATCTGTACTCCTGTTCATCCTTTGCTCTCCCTCATCACTGATAATCACTGATCTTTTTCCTTGTTTTTTTTTTTTTTTTTCCAGAATGCTGTATAGTTAGAATACCAAATAGTTAGAATGCCTTATAGTAGAGTCTTAAAATATGTGGCCTTTCAGATTCTCTTCTTTCACTCTGCGCAATTAGATATCTTCCATGTCTTTTCATGATTTTAAAGCTCATTTCTATTTTTAAAAACCTTTTTTAGTTTTTAATGAATCTTTATTTTATTTATTTATTTATATGTGGTGCTGAGAATCAAATCCAGTACCTCACACATGCTAGGCAAGTGTTAAAAGCTCATTTCTTTTTGGTGGAAGTAATATTCCATTGTTCAGATTTATCATAGTTTATTTGTCCATTTATTTACTGAAAGATATCCTGATTGCTTCCAAGTTTTGACAGTTATTAATACAGCTGTTATTAAACATGTCTGGGCAAATTTTTGTGTACTCAAAAAATTTTAACTCAAAGTGGCAGTTTCTGGATTGTATAGTAGGAGTATGTTCAGTTTTTAGAGAAACTGCTGAACTGTCTCTTGATGTGATGGTATGATTTTGCATTTTCATTAGCAGTGAATGAGCATTCCCATTTCTCTATATCCCTGTCAACATTTGGTGTTGTAAATTTCCTGGTATTTTGTCATTGTAATAGGTGTAGAATTATAATGTTGTTATAATTTGCATTTCCCTGATGACATATGATATGGAGCATTTTTTTCATATTTTTTTTTTGTTTATCTTCTTTGGTGAGGTGTCTCTTTAAATCTGTTGCATATTTAATAGGGTGTGTTTTCTTAATATTAACATGTAAGAGTTTCTTGTATATTTTGGTAAGAGTCCTTTACAAACATGTCATTTGCAAATATTTACCCCAAGTCTGTGGCTTATCTTATTCTCCTGAATATCTTCACAGGTCAGAAAATTTTAATTTTAGTTAGGTTCAGTTTACTAATTTTCCATTTTATAGAATATGTTTTTAATGTCATATCTAGAAGTTATCACTATACCCAAGGTAATCAGTTTGTGTCTTTTAAGGAATTGGCACATTTTATGTAGATATTAAATTGGTAGGCATAGAGTATGTGTATAGTATTCCTTTGTTAACCTTTTAAATGTTCATGGTTTTTTAATGATGTATCGCTTTCAATTCTGGCATTAAGAACTCATTTGTTTATTTTGGTACAAGGTTTGAACCTGTGGTGCTTTACTACTCAGCTATATCCCCAATCCTTTTTTCATTTTGAGACAGGGTCTCGCTAAGTTGCTGAGGCTTCCTCAAACTGTGATTGTCCTGTTTTTGCTTCTCGAGTTGCTGGAATTACAGGCACAAGGCTCTGATATTAATAAATTATGTCCTCTTTGTTTTTTTCTTAGTCTGGCTAAAAGCTTGTCAGTTTTCATTGATCTTTTAAAAAAAGCAACCAGCTTTTGATTTCATTAATTTTCTCTTTTCAATTTCATTGGTTTCTGTTCGTTCTTTTATTTTTTATGCTTGCTTTGGATTTAATTTCTTCTTTTGGTTCTAGTTTCCTAAAATGGAAATGTAGGTGACTGATTTTATATTTTCTTCTTTTCTAATATATGCATTCAGTGCTACAGATTTCCTTCTAAGGAATGCTTTTACTATATCCCACAAATATTGATAAATTGTTTTCATTTTCATTTAATTCAAGGTGTTTTTTTTCAAAAATTTTTCTTGTGATTTTTTTTGACCCATGTGTTACTTAATCTCCAAGAATTTTGAGATTTTCCAGTTATGTTTTTGTTATTGTTTAATTATATTGAATTTTGAAAGCAGATATTTTTATCTCTTCTTTTAAATTTGTTAAGTGCCTGAAATTTTAGCTGAGCTGTAGAGCACTTACCTAGCACAAAGTATATCCCAAACTTTTTTTGTTTTGTTTTGTTATTTCCATATAACACTATGCCACCTCACTGGTTTCTCATAATAACAAGTAACCCTGTTTTCACTGTCCTGGCTCTTGTATTACTGCGTCATTAATTTTACTTATAGATAAGCAAACTTAAGCCTACAAACACATTTATACACACACACAACTGAATTCATCATTTCTATTATTTTGAACAACTTTATGATTTATTAAATGAATTAAGAATAAGACAAATAAGCCGGGTATGGTGGTGCACGCCTGCAATCCCAGCAGCTCAGGAGGCTGAGGCATGATAATCGCGAGTTGAAAGCCAGCCTCAGCAACTTAGTGAGACCTGAAGCAACTCAGTGAGACCCTGTCTCTAAATAAAATACAAAATAGGGCTGGGAATATGACTCAGTGGTTGAGTGCCCCTGAGTTCAATCCTTGATACTAAAAATAAATAAACAATCAAATAAATAAATAAATAAAATAAGACAAATAAAAGCTTTTAATGTAAACTTCATTTATTTTTTTCTCTGATGCTTTTAAAGTAGATATGAATTCTGAAAAGTGAGTTTCTAACCTGTATCATTTTTCTTCTCCCACATATTTCCTTTAATACTTCTTAAAAGACAGGTGTACAGGCAATAAATTCTCTCAATTTTTGTTTGTCTGAGAAAGTCTTTTTCTCCTTTACTTTTTTCCACATTTTTAAAATTGTTGCATCATACTCATACATAATAATGGGGTTTGTTGTTACATATTCTTACATGCACGTGATATAACACTATAATTTGCTATCTATATATATTTTATAGATAAACATGAATTATACTTAAAGGTAGGTGAAAAAATTAAGGACAAAGAAAAGATGGGTATTGGAAAGCAGTACAATTCTTCACACAATAATTTATCTTAATTTTAAAATGTGAAATCATTTTAAATGTGCATAGGTAAGTTTCATTTTGGAAAAACTTTGTCAATTAGAAACGAATCTTTGATTTGAATGAGGTTAAGCATATGGAAGCTTGGAATTCTGTGATCAAGTTGAAGAGTGATAGGAGAGCTGAAAATTATGACCTGCATTTACAGAGTACTCTGCACTGGAAAGCTGCCTCTCCTGCTGGAGTCTTGTTGCAATGTCAGAGTAGGGACCCTATGTCAAGGGGTTCTGAGCTAGTGGCCTATACCCATTTTTCAGAGTGGAAGCAGGAGGCAAGAGGGTGGAGCAAACCTTTGAAGGCACCCCCAGTGGTGCTAGTGTGACTTGTGCACCTGTGGAAGGGTCTTCTGAGGGCAGTGGACATAGGAGTGAGGGGCTTCTCAGAGCATAGGCACAGGCACTGGGTGCTCAGCCTCATGCTCACAGTGGTTGCACCTGCCAAGCAAGTGGCTCTCAGAAACCCATGGCCAACTATGGATTCCAAGTCATCTTCCAATAACTTGATCAATTTTGTTTTCCATTATTTTTCCTTTCCCTCTCCTCCTCTCTTCCCATGGTCTCTTTCCTCTACTCTTCTTGTTTCCCTTTCATTTTCATTAGCTTCACACCACCACCTTTCTTTTCCTTTTTCCTCTCTAGCTTTCATGTCAGAGAGAAAGCATGGACCCTTTACTTTTTAAGCTTTGCTTATTTCACTTAACATAAAGCTCATAGATTCTTTCCTCAGCCATGTCTGATCTTCAAAGGGAAAAATGCTAATAAGGAGGCCTCACTGAGGTGTCAACCTCAAATCTGCACAAAACGCCCTTCAGATTTTTGGCTAACTCTAAGCTTCTCAGTGCAATGCAAAACTTTAGAGAAACTTTAGAAAATGTAGAGGAAAATAAAGTGGAAAGCACAAAAGAGAAATTTCACTATCTGCTTGGTGCTGGGCATGAATGGGTAGAATTTAAGTGAGAGCCTCTTGCTCTTCTCTCATACCTTACAAGAGTCTATTAGTAAGTACTAATTGAAGCAGATTAGCCTTAAAAAAGCCTAATTCCATTCATGAACAGGACCATGTTGATCTGCTTTTATTCTACATGTTTGCTAAAGAATAGTTGCCTCATTTTGAAGGAAGATAACACTATAAAGAGCCTCTGTAATTTATTCCATGACATGAATTGCCTTTAAAAAAATAAGCATACTAAAAGAATCGAACAAAATGAATTGAGTGTCAAAATAAATAATTACAGAAATAGTGTTAGAAGTGATTAGGATATCGGAGGACTGGGGATTAGCTCAGTGGTAGAGTACTTGTCTTAATCTGGGTTCAATCCCCAATAGTACATATAGAAAAACAATGGAGGTTATTACACATTGATTTTTAAGTAACTTCAGTAACTTGAAGGAAAAAGAGAAAAATGTAAAAGTTTTCATAAGACAATCCATGAAACAAATGAAATTAAAAATCTGGAATTGGAATGTATAAGGGGGCATAGGTAAGAAGAAAAGGGGTAGAAATATGTACCTTTTCAGTACTAATCAAAAGAAAATAGCCTATTTTAATACCATAAAGGTAATTTTTGAAGTAAGAAATATTATCCGAAATAGTCACTTCGTGTTGATTAAAGTGTCAGTTCAAAGAACGAGTAGCATAGTTAATTCCCACAGATGTTATGTTGAGTGAAAGATGTACACTGTGATTCCAATTTTCTTAAGTTCAAGAAGGAACTAAATGTGGTGTTTAAAGTGAGAATATTGGCTTCCTCAGGAGTGTATTCAGTATTGCTACGAAACAGACATTGGAAACGTTTCAAGGTGCTTCAAATGGGTGGTAATTATAAGTGTAAGAATTTATTGAGTTCCATGGTCCAGATTTATATGCTTTACTCTTTTTTTTCAGTAATCAAAAATACTTAAATAAAGTAAACAATTACTAAATAAGTGTTGGTTTTAAAATTATCAATAATTAATAAACAATCTGGATTGTATGTTCAGTTTATTCAATTTTAGGCATATTCTCAGTAATGACTTATTTGTTTTTGGATTGGTGTCATGTATTGTCATGTAGCGCTTAGCATCTTCAGCCGCAGCCTGTTGAATGGAAATGTTACTATGACAGTGAAAGCCAGACAAAACAAAAAAGGAAAATATTATTGTCATATATTTTCAGATTCTCTTGGGTAGAAGGTCATGGCATTCCTCATTGAGCACCATGTGGAAGATATTTTAAGGGAGTTAGTTTTACCTATAGGAAGAGATTACTTACTAATTAGGGCACATTCTCTGTATATCTTGAAACTTACACATATTTATTTAGATGCTCTAGATGGTTCTGTAACACTGAGACCACCAAGCCTTCCTCAAGATTCCTATGACTTTATGTGCTGTTAATATAAATATTGTTAGTATGATTGGGATCAGTTATTTTTTCCTTTCTGCATACTTTCTTATTGTGAATGTCTTTTACACTGTATGATATAGTCCTTTATTTTCTGTAGTCATCTAAATGTGAGTAAAGGGAAAGAAAACAAAAGATTGCTAGTTCTTGAATATTTAGACAAATTTTTAGAATGATTAAGCTTAATTTAAGAAAGTGTTTTCATCATTCTGAAGCATGTAGTACATACTGTGAAGTTGATTGAAAAAATAAAAAAGCTTTAGCTAAAATGTTATGAACCTTTAGAAAAAATATGCATTCTTTAAAATATGGGGCATACTTAAAGTAGATATTCATATTTAGTTATAGCAAGAGAATTCTATATAAAGGCATCATTTCTAGATTGACCTACTATAACTGCAAAATGTGCAAGTCTGAAGCTTGTATAGAAGGAATTGTATATTAGTTGACTGCTGTACTCCTAAAATATAAAGTGAATACTCTTATTTTCTAGAACTCAAGTAATTTCATGAATACTGCAAACTTCCAGTCTCTTCGTCCTTTGCCATCCATTCAGATACTGGTGGATAAAATCAATCTGGAACATTCTGTCCCAATGTATGCTGAGCATTTGGTGCATGTGGTCAGCAGCCTTACTCAGCCTTCTGATAATCTGCTTCATTATTGCTATGTTCACTGCTATCTTAAGGTATGAAAAATGAATTTTCTTGTTTATTATTATGTGTTTCACTTTGGGAATGTCAAATAAGTTTCTTTTTTCCTGGAGTTATAATTTCATAGAACTAGTAGTGCATAAAGTAAAATGAAAATAAGATCTAAGATAGATTTATTCATTGTTACAAAGTAATTCAGTAAAATAAAAAGAATTTTTTAAGCTATTTGGAATTAGTTGTCTGATGCTTGCTTAATATAATTTTTGAAGATTTTATATATTGATAATTATTTTTATATGCAGTTTAATATGGGTGCTTTAAAAGACTTATGATTTCTTTGAAGGGAACATTTATTTATGTTCAGCATAAGGTTTCATAAAAATAGTTTCACATGCTAGGTTTTTGGCCACTTTTTTTTAGTTGAAATGATGTTAATTCTTGATGCAAAGAGACAAATCTTTTTTATCATTACAAATATAGTTAAGTAAAGTGATTTTTGGAAGCTGTGACCAGCCCAGCTCTGTTTTTTTTTTAAAATAAGTAATGTATTCCAGTACAAATATGTACACAGAAAAATAATAAATTCAAATGTTGAATTATAAATATTTTTAGAAGTAAATACAGATATATATTCCTAAGTAGACTTATCATCTGCCTAATCAAATTTTCTTTTATCAATAAAAGGAAACCCTACAATGTCCAATTCAAGAATAAGTATTATAAAAACACTAAATTCCATGAAAAATACCAAAAGATTAAAGGACTTCATGAAAAAATCTCTGGCCAATGGTTTATAGTGTTTTAAAATTCTTATATATTTTATATTAGTCAAATAAAAAGGAATCAATTTAAAAATGATAGTTTTACATCACCTGTAGATTAAATAAGATGTTAAAATACAACTATTTTCTAATCACATAGAGCAGACGGACAAGTGTTTTAGATGACCTTGGAAAAAATCCATTTTCAAGAGGCGGGTCTCCTTTGATGGAGGATCATCATATAACATTGCAAAGGGATTTGAACATAGGGATGTGTGATTCATTGGGGGCTGTTATTATGATGATCTATCATAGTGTCTCATGTCATACAAAAAGTAGCAGAAGATAGTTTTGAATCTGGATATCTTGAGCATATTATCCTTGAGCTTTTTAATTCATTCCCATGTTGATATAATCTGAATATTAGAATAATGTTGAGAGTACATGTCTTTTTTTTTTAAGCTGGTTTAGTTTTTGGCATTTCCCTATATTTTCTAACATATTCTGCTTATGTTCATTTTTTGAATATTTTCTTTCCATATTGCAGACATTCTGCATTAATAAACAAAGTATTTCGTCATCCTCTAGGAAAATGGTCACCAAATTTTTGATCACCAATATGGTTACCATCCATACTGACATGAAAGTTAATGGAATAGTTGTTCATCATTTCTATTTGTTAATGTGTTAAAGCTCACTTGAATTTCCAGTGTAATGTAAAAGTTATAGTCTAGTCTGTGAGCAATTATGTTTCAAGAAAGGGACTTTTGCTACATATACCTTCCAGTTGTCTTTTCTATTGTGGTTAGTTTAAATACAGCTATAATGGATAAGTTTAATGTTTTAGGAGAAGTAAGTTATTGAGCAGAATAGGAATTGGTATAACATAGGCAAGAAAACCATTTATTGATATTTGGAGTATTAAATACTTTATGAAATAAAACCTCAAGTCCTGCTTGTCTTAAATATTTTGTTTCATTTTTTAGCCTGGTGTGGTGCCGCTCAGCTGTAATCCGAGTGGCTTGGGAGGCTGAGACAGGAGAATCCTAGGTTCAAAGCCAGCCTCAGCAACTGTGAGGCACTAAGCAACTCAGTGAGATATCCCCTCTCTAAATAAAATACAAAGTAGGGCTAGGAATGTGGCTCAGTGGTCGAGTACCCCGGAGTTCAATCCTTGGTCCCTCCCCAAATTTTTTTGTTTCATTTTTTTATACTTATGTGACCTAGTACATTTTAATACTTTCAGAATTTGCTAGAGAGCTGTTGTTTATTTGACTATTTCAAATTGACTCAAAATGCAATTTTGTTAATAAGTATAAAGCAGTGTATATTTCTTGTGATTTCAGTGACCTTTGAGGAAGTTTTCAAAATTTTATATTTAGTGTTTTATTGTTATAATAATAGAGGATTTGTGTGTGTTCTATGTTTGGCCTATTTTGTAATTTTCCATTAAAAACAGACAAATGCTTGAGTTTTAATTTTCTATTCTTTGTTTTTATTGTACTAGCTATATGATGAATTCTTTTAACTTCCATTCTTTTAATGAATTTATTAATTGGGAGAGTTGGCATGAATTTGTAGAAAATAAGAAGATAAAACTCTTATTTTCATTGACAGTGAATGGGTTCATCACATACTACATGCTACATACTTTGAAAAATGTACACATTGTGGAAAGGCTTAATCTGGCTAACACATGCAATACCTTTTTTGTGGTAAAAACACAATCTCTCATTAATTTTCAAAGTTCAGAATTTATAACCTACCTATCATCATTATATTATACAACAGAGCTCATGAACTTTCCTCTCATTTAACTGAAGTTTCATATCCTTTTACCAACATCTTCCCAAACCCTTCTTATCTTGTAAATCCATGCTTTATGTATGGCATTGAGTAGCTAAGACCTTTCAAGGCATCTCATATTTGAAATGTACAAAATTATGTGAATTTACCCTAAGCTGTTAAATAATATATAAGTTTAAGGCTTTGTTATGCATAAGGATCAAGTAAAACAGATGCTTTAAGAGAGATCAAGTAGGTTTGTTAAGATAGAATCAGAACACCTAGGGATTTGGGAGGAAATGGTGCTTTCATATACAACTGATTGATAGGCAAGTAATTTTGCAAATTACTTTAGTAGGATCTAATGAATTTGAAAGTAGTTCTATGCTAATACTCATTTGTTTCAATTTTCAATGTATACTCCATAGCAAGAGTGAAGCAAGCTTTTGTTTAAAGGGTCAGAGAGTAAATATTATAAGCTTTGTAGGCTAGTAGGCAAAATTAAGGATTATGGTAGGTACTTAAAAGAACAAGAAGAAAAACGTTTCCAAAGTTTCAAGTTGACATAATTTGAAATGTAATAATTGAATTTTTTTTTGTAATACAGGTTTAAAAATTTTTTAAAATTCTAATTAGTTATACATAACAGTAGAATGAATTTTGACACATTGTACACAGATGAAGCATAACTTCTCATTCCTTTGGCTGTACATGGTTCTGAGTCACACCAGTAGTATAATCATACATGTATATAGGGTGATAATGTCTGTCTGGTTCTGTCATTCTTCCCATACCCACTGCCGTATCCCTCTCTTCACTCCCCTCTGCACAATTCAAAGTTAATTTGTCCCCCTCTCTCCCCCGCCCTTTATGGATCAGCATCTATTTATTAGAGAAAACATTCAGCCTTTGTTTTTTGGGAATTGGCTTATTTCACTTAGCATGATATTCTCCAGCTCCATCCATTTATCTGCAAATGCCATAATTTCATTCTTCCTTATGGCTGAGCAATATTCCATTACATGTATATGTATCACATTTTCTTTATCCATTCATCTGTTGAAGGGTGAATCTATTTGGTTCCATAGTTTAGCTGTTGTGTGAACTGAGCTCCTTATAAACATTGATGTGGTTGCATCAATGTAGTATACTGATTTTAAGTCCTTTGGTTATATGCTGATAAGTGGGATAACTGGGTCAAATGGTGGTTCCATTCCAAGTTTTCTATACTTTGTTTTTATTGTACTAGCTATATGATGAATTTTTTTTTAACTTCCATTCATTTAATGAATTTATTAATTGGGAGAGTTGGCATGAATTCTGAGACATCTCCATACTGCTTTCCAGAGTGGTTGTACCAATTTGCATGCCCACCAGCAAATATGAGAGTGTACGTTTTTCTCCACATCCTCATTAACTATTGCTTGTATTCTTGATAATTGCCATTCTGATTGGAGTGAGATGAAATCTTAGAGTAGTTTTGATTTGCATTTCTTTAATTGCTGGAGATGATGAACACTTTTTTCATGCTTCTTGAAAGGTTATATTTCTTCTTCTGTGAACTTTTCGGTTCCATTGCCCATTTATTGATAAGGTTTTTTTTTTTTTTTTAATTTTTAAGTTTTTTGAGTTCTTTATATATCCTGGAGATTATTGCTCTATCTGATATGCGTGTGGTAAAGATATTTTTTTTTTTTCCATTCTGTAGGGTTTCTCATAATGTTATTGATTTTTTTTTTTTTTTTTTGCTGAGAAGAAGCTTTTTAGTTTGAATCCATCCCATTTATTTATTCTTGATTTTACTTCTTGTGCTTTAGGAGTCTTGTTAAGGAAGTCAGGTCCTAAGCCAGCATGATAAAAATTTGGGCCTATGTTTTCTTGTATTAGGCTCAGGGTCTGAGTGTCTAAGTCTTTGATCCACTTTGAGTTGATTTTTGTGCAGGATGAGAGAGTTTTAATTTCATTTTGCTAAATATGGATTTCCAATTTCCCGGCACCATTTGTTGAATAGGCTATTTTTCCTCCAATATGTTTTTGGCGCCTTTGTCTACCCTGAGATAACCATATTTATGTGCGTTTGTTTCTGTGTCTTGTATTTTGTACCATTGGTCTGCATGTTTTTTTTGGTACCAATACCTTGCCATTTTTGTTATTATTGCTCTGTAGTATCGTTTGAGATCTGCTATTATGATATATCCTGTTTCACTTCTCTTGCTAAGAATTGCTTTGGCTATTTTGGGTCTCTTATTTTTCAAAATCAATTTTGTAACTGATTTTTTTTTTTTTTTTTAGTTCTATGAAGAATGTCATTGGGATTTTAATATGAATTTGCATTAAATCTGTATAACAGTTTTGGTAGTATGGCCATTTTGACAATATTAATTCTGCCTATTCAAGAGCATGGGAGATCTTTCTATCTTCTAAGGTTTTCTTCAATTTCTTTCTTTAGTGTTCTGTAGTTTTCATTGTACAGGTCTTTTACCTCTTTT